GGGGAGGGGGAGAGAAAGAGGAAATCGCTAGGTCTGCATTTCCGCGTCAACCACGACTCGAGTTGATAATACGACGTGCGTGAGAAAAATGAGCGCTTATCCACGCATTATCAACCTCGGTTTCCGCGGCAAAAATGGCGATCCGATGCAAACGAGGCGGTGGTGCGATTCGAATCGTTTCGGAAATATCCGTGCATATCCGTTCGAAATGCTCGGCGCGTATCCACGTCCACGTATTGACTCGAAATTCGAAAAAAAAAAAAATGAGAAATAATCGTTTCGATGTAATGGATAACAACCGTGCGTTAGAATCTGTGAATAAATTTAAAAAATTAAATCCTCCTTTTTAAACGCTTACGGATTAAATGAAATACGCAGACAACTAATCGGATAACTGATCGGTCATGTTTCATCAGTTGAGAAATATACTGTAAATAAAACATCTGTTTTAAATTATCGTTATAAATTATTGATGTAGTTTTTTGTTTTTTTTTTTTTTTTTTGTCAAATTAATCTTTTAAAGTTAAGTAATTAACCTGGTATTAGAAATTCGCGCGATGTAATGTTTTTTTTATATACGTTCCACATCGTTCCACGCGATAAGAGTCGAGTGTAGGAACTTTCTATTTTTTTTTTTTTTCACCGTCATATTTGTTTCGTAAAACTTTGCAAAACTATATTAATTTCAACGTTTACCGCCGCGTGACGTATACGTAATGGATACTTTAATCTAGCCACTGATATTTATAGATTAATTTCAAATCTTCTTGTATGCACAATATGTGCATTTCTATCGTTATATTTAATTTATTATATTTTGGAGAGAGATAAGCAATAGTCTTGTTAAATAATATGTCTTCTTACCTATCTATGTTCTATCTATGTTTTTCTCATTTTATAATTTTCAGTTTCATCGTTTCTATCGTTATTTCGTTCAATTATCACTGTTTGGGCCCGCATCTATAATTTATAGGATAGAATTGTCGAGGACATCGCGCAACAAAAATATCCGTTTCTTTAGAATACCGTTTCCAATTCTCAAGGCTCGGCTTATCGTATTCGCTCGTAAAATTCGAAGCGCTTTCCAAGTTAATTGCCCGCTACAACTTTTTTGTCACATTTCACACACTTTGAGCGATTACTTAAGGACTCGACTCGCAAAATATTATAACCGCAATACTAATTTTTCTCATATGTTCACTCACATTTTCAACTTTAATAATAATAAATTGCTATATATATATTTATAAACTCGAAAAATGGGGGGAAAAAATAATTTTGTCCCAGGTCAACTCCTATTTTATATATATATATATATATATATATATACACATATATACCAACTCGTTCTTCGTTTCGT